CCTCAAATGATCTCAAATTTTAACAGAATGTGTAAAAACGAACCAAGTTTAATTTTTAATGTTTTTTTTTTCAGGTTAAAGAATGGCGTTCACTAGAAATGAAAAGGCATTTTGTGTGTTAGAATATGCTCGAACACAGTCAAACAAGAGTGTGCAGCGTGCATTTTTGAAAAAATGGTGGCATTCCCCTTTAAGTTGTCAAGTGACTCTACATGACCACTGGCTTTACTAAAGAACCCTTGAAACCCCCGTAGCCCATCATTATTTATGATTTCTTTAATATCTAGCATTTTTACTTAAAGACTGATAAAGGATGTCTCTGTATTTTTGTACACAGAGTTCCTTGAACAGTAATAAACTAAAATGAGGTGAAAATGATGCATGATTGCATTTTTGTTTCTCACTTCTGCTTTTTACCACAGTGAATGAAATGGAAGTTGTGGTGTGGCTGTGTTTCACTCCTCTGCTCTGTTTTCTTGGTAAATGCCACGGTGAGTAGTTTTCACTTTCTCATGTGTATATTATCATTCCGGAGGCTGTTATATATGACATTGTTCTATGTTACACTTCTGTAATACAGTTGTTGCTACAGTTTGAAATAAAAAACAGTGACATTAATTTCCCTTCAAAGGAAATCTTGTTTTTCTGACTGTTCAGTGTTTCTATTCACTTTTGACTGTTATTTTGAGAAATTAATCTGAGAGTTCATATTGACTGCTGTGTCTGCTGTTATTAATAAAGTGAGCTGGATTAAGACTAATGGCTAAAATTTGAAAACTGTTTTCCTCAAACTTTTTCTTTTTGTTTTTAAGGGCAAACTCAGTTCATTTATGCAGCAAAGGAAAAAGTAGAGTTGAGATGTGAAACAAAGAAATGGCAAATAAGCACAAAGTCTGATAACAGGATTGACCTGAACTGCTCACAGTGTGACATCAGGATTAAGATTGTCGATGACAATGATAAAATGAATTTTTGCAAAAAGAAACATTCACAGCCAAAGCGTGTTTGTAAACTGAAAGTAAAGAGTGGATTTGTTGCCTGTGTTAAATCTCTGGATTCTGGATTCTTATATCCATTCAAAACATCTCAAAACATCATCCATTTATGCATATTTGCTGCTCCAAATACACAAAGTGAGTAACTTTCCGTTCTCTGTGTTATCTCACTTTATGCAAAAGTTCTATGTTACTGTGAGAAATGCTGGGTTCATTTGTAAATACAGGGTGTCCCAAAAAAATTGACATCATTTCATAGTCTAATAACAGCCAATTCTCCCTCAAATGATCTCAAATTTTAACAAAATGTGTAAAAACTAACCAAGTTTAATGTTTAATGTTTTTTTTTTCAGGTTGAAGAACGGCGTTCACTAGAAATGAAAAGGCATTTTGTGTGTTAGAATATGCTCAAACACAGTCAAACGAGTGTGCAGCGCGCACTTTCGAGAAAATTCAATACAAATGCACCAACTGGAGCTGTGCTGGACACAAGACATGCTACAGCGTGTTTGGCAGGAGCTGGACTACCGACTTGACGTGTGTCGTGTCTCAGACGGTGCGCATATTGAACATTTGTGTAGCTTTGTGAAATCGGTTATAAAATCTACATCCCTCTGAATTTCTTGTTCAAATTTTGATAAATAAATCTTGTATTGTTCAACATGAAACCTATTTAATTTCGTTTGCCAGGACATGTAGTTACTCAGATATTCACATCTCAAATTATGTCAATTTTTTGGGACACCCTGTATATCAATATGTCTTCATTATCACCCACACATACAGTAAATGCTTCATTGCTGTGATTTGCGGCAGACAACAAGCTACACACTTACAAACATGTTTCTTAAAGGGTTCTTTAGCAAAGAAATTGGTTCTATATGAACCTTGAACATTCAAAGAACCCTTTGCATGATTGAAGGATTGTTTCCATTGTGAAGAGGTTCTTCAGATGGATGGAGAATGTGTTGTTTATGGTTCTATATAAAACATTTTTGAAAAGGGTTCTATATAGCACCAACAAGCATTCTTCCAATGTTACAAGCTTGATCTCCTAACAAGAGAAGAACCTTTTTGGTGCTATAAAGGACCATAAACAACACATCAGAACCATTTCAAGAACCATTTCACGATGCAAAGAACCCTTTAATCATGTAAAGGGTTCTTTGAGTGTTCATGGTTCTACATAGATTGATAAAAGCTTTATTATTACCTTAGATGACTTTGTAACATCTAAAAAACAATATTAGGCCACCTTGGAGTTCAGAACTGACCTCTTTCTCAGCACAGATTTTCTCTCTTTAAAGCTCAGCCTATATATATTATATAGATAATTGTTGCAATGCTTTCACAATACTAATGTTATTTTGTCATGTCAGTAAAGTTAACATGAACTTGAACTTATGAAATATGTAGTCAGATATGTGTATTTATATGTGAGTGCCATTCACTCTGGGACAGTGGTTGAGCACTAAACCACAACCTTTTTGCATTGCAAGATTTCTTTACATGTTGTAATCACATAGTTATAATCAGGGTCACCAGAACCATGGTGGTGAGTGGGCATTTGACCCCACCAAAAGGACTGGACGATGCCCCGCGAGTTCAGGACGTGACATAAAAAGTTCTGCTTTCCCTAAACCCTAAACATAACATAGTAATACATTTGAAAAATAAGTAACCATCATGTATTTTCTGTAAGGGAGCTTTAAAAGGTATTAAACTCTTCAGATGTCTGGTTCCCATCACTACCACTGTGAACAATTCTGACTCGGTAAGTTTCACTGGAACTGAGCACTTGACACCAAACCACTCTGAATGACTTTGTTTAAATCTATTAAACTATTTAATTATGCAAGAATTCTAAAAAATTGGTGGAATTCACCTTTTAGTTATCAGGTGACTCTATATGACCATTGGCTTTACTAAAGAACCCTTGAAGAACCCCCTTTTTTAAAAGTGTAGCCCATCATCGTTTATGATTTCTTCATTATCCAGCATTTTTAATTAAAGACTGATAAAGAATGTCTCTGTATTTTTGTACACAGAGTCCCTTAAACAGTATTAAACTAGAATGAGGTGTAAACAGGAGAAATGAATAGGAAGTTAATCTGCCTGATTGCATTTTTTTTTTCTGACTTCTGCTTTTTTACCACAGTGAATGAAATGGAAGTCATGGTGTGGCTGTGTTTCACTCTTCTGCTCTGTTTTCTTGGTGAATGCCATGGTGAGTGATTTTCACTTTCTTATGTGTTTATTGTCATTCAGGTGGCTGTTATAGATAATTTACTTCTGTAATATAGAACAATGTTGTTATTCAATTGTTGCTACTGTTTGAAATCAGATACAGTGACATTCATTTCCCTTTCAAAGAAAATCTTGTGTTTTTGCCTGTGTTTCTGATTACTTTTACTGTCATTTTAAGAAATAAACTGAGAGTTCATATTAACAGTTTGTCTGTTATTGTTAATAAAGTGAGCTGGATCAAAACTAATGGCTAAAATTTGTAAGTTGTTTTCTTCAAACTTACAGTAATTCCTTTTTCTTTTTAAGGGCAAACTCAGTTCATTTATACAGAAAAGAAAAAAGTACAGTTGAGATGTGAAACAAACAAATGGCAAATAAGCACAAAGTCTGATAACAGGATTGACCTGAACTGCTCAGTAAAATGTGATCACATTGAGATTGAGCTTGATGATGATGATGGTGGTGAACTGAAATTTTGCAAAAAAAAAAAACATTCACAGCCAAAGCGTGTTTGTAAAGCGAAAGTAACGAGTGGATTTTTTGCCTGTGTTAAATCTCTGGATTCTGGATTCTTATATCCATTCAAAACATCTCCAAACGTCATCCATTCATATATAGTTGCTGCTCCAAACACAAAAAGTGAGTAACTTTTCATTCTCTTTATTATTTTTGTATCACTACAGATGTTGATATCACTGTTGAATACACTGTAAATAACACCAGATTATGTATATAGTCATTCATTCAATCATCTAATCATTATCCTTTATTTAATTTCATTTCATTTTATTTCTTCTTTACTTCATGTCTCATTTATCCTTGAATATCTCTCAGCAGTTCTGTGTGCTCGTCTGCTCTATTTAGTTTGTTACATGTCAGATCTGTGTGCACTAACTGAGACAAAGTGTAACACACTGCTCTTTTCTCCCTGCAGTAACATCCACACCTGAGGACACATCTTCACTGAAAGTAACTGAAGGTGAATCAGTGAGTTTAAACTGTAGTTTCACCTTCACACAAGAATATAATGGGGTGCCATTTGTTGTTTACTGGATTAGGACTGTTGGACAGAGCAGCACCTGTGTGTATTCTTATGATTATTCCCTGTATGAGCCGGTCGTGCTCGGTCACCACTGCACTGTGCAAGAAGAACTGCTTAACAGACTCTCGAACCAAACCAAAGAACCGAACAGTCACAACATCAGGATCAGTGAAGTGATGGAGTTAGACAGCGGTCAGTACCTCTGTGCTGTACAAGTGCACCCAAATAATAGAAACACTGCTAAAAAAGGAAACTGGAAGGTGATACAAAAAGTTACAGTCAGTGTTCACAAAGACAGAAGACCACAGCCAACCATGACCACTGTGACTCAGACAACAACTGAGGAGACAACAAAGAAAACAACTGGTGAGTTTGCTCTGAACTGATTATATGTATGTATCATAGGGGGGATATAAAAGACCCCCACAGCCAACCTGTATTATTTTATTTCTAACTGCTGATGTTTTCACTGTTGTCTCTACACAGATCATGATCGTCTTAAGCCCTTGTATGTAGCAGTACCCATAATACTGTGTCTTCTGCTGATTGTCTTGGTCGTGTTTATAAGAAAGAAGTGCATCACTTCACAAGGTAACCACACTGTGAACAAATAGCTCGACAAACATGTAGTTCTCTGTGTTTTTAACTGACCATTTACTATTAGACATTTGATATTGTGGTCATTTACTATATATTTAACATATTTTCTTTCATACAGGATGTCAGACTTTACAACAAAGGTGAGCTGTCACAGTTATATTTATCTTCATTTTACGTAGACATGATTTCCATAATTGCATCAACTGTTACTCATTTCTGTTACACCATGTTTTCCTTTGATTGCTGCAGAGAAGAAGCTCCTAACATGGACTGTAAGTGTGTCAGTGTTTCAGTCGTGTCATCTTCTTCCTCTTTTCCGTGTTCAGTCGTCTCTGTAATGCTTACTGTATAATCTTCACTCATGCTACGTGCAGGTTCTCCATATGCTGTTGGAAATGGTGAGGAGGGGACGTTCTTTGGATCTAAGACGGCTGATCCAGGCCGTGAAGAATCCACACCATCTATTGACCCTTATTTAGTTGTTAGACTCAACAGCTTATATGAATCTGGGGCTTCAGATCACAGCAGACATATTTAATCCAAAGCTGCTGATCTGTGTGTGTTAAAGGCGCCTCAGTGCAGCAGCTCACATGCTGAAACACTGTAGAGGAGAACGCAGAGTAACGGAGTGGACAAGCTTGTTAAATAATGCTTTTTGCAGATTCTGATAGATCACCAGTCACATGCAAAAGTTTGAGCACCCCTGGTATTTTAGGCATTTTAGGTTTTTTGCGAAATTTAGTGCACAATTATTAGTGCCTTTGCTGAGTTTAACATATTGGGCTGAAAAACATAAAAAAAATGTGGCATAACTTTTACACAAAGGTCCAATATGGTAAATTCTGCAAATAAACAGTAATTGTGCATTAAAATGTGAAGAAACATGTTCTGTGTAAAGGATGTGTTCACTTATACTCATTTACAAAATGAACAAAACATGTTATTTGACCAGGGGTGCATAAACTGTTTAATACAAATGTTGCATATGACTATATGCATTTTAAAAATCTTTTTCGCTTTAAAGAAGAGATATTACTGCTTTTTTTTAAATGTGTTTACAGTTCCCTCTGATTTTTAATGCCTAATTCAAATGACACCTTAATTTAGACTTTGCATGATGTTGACATTTGTAAGAGACATTTAAGTAACACATTCTTTGCTTTGAATGTTACAGGTTGGATGTTGTATCTTTCAGTAAAGATTTAAACTTTAAGCCTGTCTCTGAATATTATGGGAGGAACCTGTTAACATAGCTATATGCCCAGCTTGCTCTAGTGAGGACAGAATATGGTCCAATTCACCCACAACGAGCCTGTTAACGTCAGTAAAAAAGAGTCTACTGACTACTTTACATCATTTTCCTACACGTTCCTGTCAATCAGGGACGTCTGAGTGAAAACTGCGGAGGTGATGGTGAAAGTATGAAGGCTAGTTGGGTGTGTTTGTCACATTTCACATGGACAAGATTTCACATTTCAAACATTGTACGTTGCTCCCCCAAGACAAAAAAGCACAGTAGTGTTGAAAGCATTTGTGATTGATATTTTTAGGCTGAAAAGCCATTATGACCCACCAGATGGCGCTGCTGCTTAAATAAAGCTACTCATTCAATCCCTACCTGGTACAGCAGGTGGCGCTGCCACACCACTGTTGACATGCAGCCTACTAAGGATTTCACTTTCTTTCACAGATTAAATCTGGCAAAAACTAATAATTTAAGTTTAATTATTGCTGATTGATTTCCAACATTGTCCTATCAACAATTTAGGAGCTGTGTAACAAGTAATGCAGAGCAAAAATATTACTTTTTCCATTTTTAGAGTTTTATGAATTCATAAAGAACCAGAACAGTAAAAAACATCAGTTCCTAAGCTGATAGATGGACTACGAAGTTTCACTGCAGCTCTGTGACTTAGCAGATTTTAGACCTCACACTTCTGTAGTGTTTTTTCTGGTATCTATTTTATTTTTCAGCTATTTCAGTGCAGTAACAATTTCCATATTTTAGTGTGTGGTTGAAGCTCCTCTACACACCTCTGTTCATCACATGAGAGTTATTTGGTCAAAAGATCTCCATGATATAATAAGTTTTATTTTTATAATAAGACATATTGACATATATTTAGAGAAACACGTAAGATATTATTGGAAAAGTCAGTATTCACAATTATGTAGCATATCAAGTTTTGACCATTTTTAAATTGGATTTCAGATTGTTTCACTGTACAGCCTTTTTCATAAAAGTGTGCTATTACGTGTAAAATAAATCGCTAAACTAAAACACCTAAACACTTATATTTGCAACATCTTGTGGTCTAACATATGGTGAGTAAAAGAAAAGGTTGTGGTTTAGTGCTCATTCACTGTCCCGGAGTGAATGACACTCACATATACATACACATATCTGACTAGATATTTCTCTGAAGTTCATGTTTGCTTATTGACATGACAACATAACATTTGTATTGTGGAAGCATTGCAACAATTATCTATATGATAAAAGCTAAAGAAAAGATTTTGTGTGTATATATATATATATATATATATATACATATATATATATATATATATATTCACTCAAAAGAGGCCACTGCGTCGGAGCGATGAGGTAGGCACCAGACAGCCGTCGCAATGTTTAACCTCTGTTTGCAACTTCTGGGTGCATACCCCCGTACCCCTTCATGTGTCTGGCAGAAAATGGAGATCACTTCCGGCATCGCATGTAATGCAATCAATTACACGTACGTCAAGGTATGTAGTGCATTTTTTCGGTTTGGATCGCTTCATCCTAACGGGAATTACAACAGAATTTTCGGGGCCTCTTTCGAGTGAATCTCCCTGTATATAGCTGTAGGAGACGCTCAAGCCATCTGAACGTTTTTACTTCATAGTTTGCCACAAACAGAAAACAAATACTTTTAAGATTACATACATCGACTTACAGCCGATTTGGTCAGACTCTGAAAATGAGACTACACTAAATTCCCAAACTGTCAGTTGTTCTGTGTGGAGCTGGAGAACGAACTGCTGGCTGTGCAGTGAGTGAGCAGAGCTCGTTACTCTCACATAGCAACAAGCTGCTTGTTAAGGAACTATAATTTGGTGAAGGAACTGCAAACATTAAAACATATTAAACGCCGCGTTCACAGCCCAGTTTATTAATTTATTACTTTATTTATTTAACTGTTGTATAAAAGCAATAAAACACTCAAGGTTGTGTGTTACCGCTATAACATCACGGCTGTGATTTGGTCACAGGCACGAGCTGAAGGCAAAGTGCCATAGATCATCACAGTCATGAAGTTATTTGTGATAACACACGACCTTGAGTGTTCGATTGCTTAAATATACACCGATCAGGCATAACATTATGACTGCATACTTTGTTAGCCCCCTTTTACCCTGTTCTTCAGTGGTCAGGACCCCCATGGACCCTCACAGAGCAGGTACTATTTGGGTGGTGGATCATTCTCAGCACCGCAGCAACACTGACGTGATGGTGGTGTGTTAGTGTGTGTTGTGCTGGTACGAGTGGATCAGACACAGCAGTGCAGCTGGAGTTTTTAAACACTGTCCACTCACTGTCCGCTCTATTAGACACTCCTACCTTGTCAGTCCACCTTGTAGATGTAAAGTCAGAGACAGTAGCTCATCTGCTGCTGCACAGTTTGTGTTGGTCATCCTGTAGTCAGTGGTCACAGGATGCTGCCCACAAGACGCTGCCCACAGGATGCTGTTGGCTGGATATGTATGGTTGGTGGACTGTTCTCAGTCCAGCAGTGACACTGAGGTGCTTAAAAACTCCAGCAGCACTGCTGTGTCTGATCCGCTCAGACCAGCACAACACACACTAACACACCACCACCACGTCAGTGTTACTGCAGTGCTGAGAATGATCCACCACCCAAATAGTACCTGCTCTGTGAGGGTCCATGGGGGTCCTGACCACTGAAGAACAGGGTAAAAGGGGGGCTAACAAAGTATGCAGAGAAACAGATGGACTACAGTCTGTAACTGTAGAACTACAAAGTGCTCCTATATAGTAAGTGGAGCTGATAAAATGGACAATTAGCATAGAAACAAGGAGGTGGTCATAATGTTGTGCCTGATCGGTGTATATATATATATATATATATATATATAGATAGATAGATAGATAGAAAGATAGACCGATAGATAGTTGAATGACTCCCATACACATGACTGGCTGCAGTGGACCCCACGGGCGCAGGAAGCGTGGGGCAGATGCAGCCCCCCCAGATTTTAGGACTGCAACTGTTAAAAATATGAATACATTTTAGTGTTTGGAATGTATTTTGTCATGGACTGCAATTTATTTGATAAGTATTTCAAACTTGTAAAAATACATTTCCATATTTTTTATTTTCCATACGGTGAATGACACTCACATACACATATATGTATCTGGCTGCATATATGACCAGATATTTCTCTCAAGTTCAAGTTCATATTTACTTTATTGACATGACAAAATAACATTTGTATTGTCGAAGCATTGCAACAATTCTCTCTCTCTCTCTCTCTCTCTCTCTATATATATATATATATGTGTGCTGAGCAAAAGCCTGTGCAGAGACAGAGGTCAGTTCTGAATATAGTTTTTTACATGTTAAAAAGTCATCTAAGGTAACGATGAAGCTTTTATCAATCTATGTAGAACCATGAACACTCAAAGAACCCTTTCCATGATTAAAGGGTTCTTCGCATCGTGAAATGGTTCTTCAATTTGAGGAGGATGTGTTGTTTATGGTTCTATATAGCACCAAAAAGGTTCTTCTCTTGTCATGAGATCAAGCTTGTAACCTTGCTGGTGCTATATAGAACCCTTTTCAAAAATGTTTTATATAGAACCATAAAGAACACATTCTCCATCAATCTGAAGAACCTCTTCATGACAGAATCAATCCTTTAATCATGCAAAGGGTTCTTTGAATGTTCATGGTTCATGGAACTATTGTCTTCCTTTAAAGAACCATGTTTGTAAGTGTGTAGCTTGTTGTCTGCTGCAAATCACAGCATAAAGCACTTATTGTATGTGTGGGTGGTAATGAAGACATACTGATATATTTATGAATGAACCCAGCATTTCTCACAGTAACATAGAACTTTTGCATAAAACGAGAACATTCAGCTGACAGATTTGAGCATTAAGTTCACCTGCACAGACACTAATATAAAACACAAAGGAAGACTTTACATGAGGAGCTTTACTGTGTGATCTTAGTGATCAAACAAATGAAGGTCTGAGTGAGTTTAAAGGGGTAAATTAAGCCTTTCACTGAGAAACTCAAACTCAGAGGACGTAGATCATACACACGATATCTATTACACACACACTCACATTACTGATCACATGATACTTTACACTGCAAGATTTTTCACCCCTCCTTAACTAACTTTGTTCTCTTTTTTTCCGACACGTATAACCAGGGATGGCAACAAACTTTCAAACGTAGTGGGGCAAATCATATTGTTAAAAAACAAAAAAAGGCAGCTGAGTGATGAAATGCCATTAGCCCACTGACTAAAATTGCCTTTCATGTCTTGCTAATGACAGCTCTTTATTTATGGTAGTAACTAGTTACTCAAGTACATGTACTTAACTGAAATATTGATGGGTTTTTACTCTTCTGAGTACTTTTTTTAGTACTTAGTACTTAGTGTTAGCTAACATCTCTGAAGAACATCAGGCAGTTTTCCTACTCAAAGACCCACCACATTTTGTGTTTTTTGTGATATTGTATCTTTTTCCTTTGGTTCGGATGGTGGACTGTAAGGGCTAAAGTGCATTAAATTACACTGGTGGGTGT